AGTGATCCTGGAGACCCCGGAGACGCCGGCTGGTGACGCCCTGCGACAGGCGTTGGGATCTAGGGTGGGGGATGGGGGTTCGGAGAGAGGCCAAGGGCTGGGTGCTCTGGCCCCTCTTTCCACTCCAGTGTGCTTGGCTCTACCAGGGGCGCGGCCCTTGTTGTGCTGGGAAGTTCCAGGAAATCCAGGGAGGCCTTCAAACAGATACTTAAGAGAAAACATTCCAGATCTTTGAACTTTTTCCCATTAAACTCACGCCAGAAGAATTGTTGCGAGATTTGATGTCTGTCGGGCAAGGAGGAAGGACATGTGAAAAGTTTTGACAGGGTTTCTGTGCCAGATGAAATTGGCATGTGAGTTAGTTTTTTCCTCCCTCCTTGTTTTGTTGATGGACCCAGAGCCTTGCTCTGCTGAACAAGGGCTCTGCCATGAGCCACAGGCCTGCTCTTCCTCCTTTACTGCTTACATTAGTTTTGAGAATCAGAAGTATGGTGCTCTTCCTCCTTTACTGCTTACATTAGTTTTGAGAATCAGAAGTATGGGAATCTAACATTCATGTGGTGTCAGGAAGCTGGGTGTGAGGGAAAGCTGGGTGGAGTTTGGCACTTAGTATTTCTTGGCCCAGTTGGGAAGCAATTGCTTGTGCTAGGACTTTTCCAGAGGCTGCTATTTCCTTCCTCCAGTAGTGTAGGGCTTGGGTGTGGGAGGTGATGTATCAATGAACCTTGGGTAACTGTGTGTGATCAGGGACTTTATAGTCCTGGGGCACATGGAATGACCCCACTCTTATCAGTATACATGGGAGTGTCCCAGTGTTTCATGGCTGCCCTGAGTGATTGTATCCACTACGACTTGTGTCTTGACACAGAGAGGGTGCATTTGGGTTGCTCTTGGCTCAATATACCATGTTTATTTGGCTCCCTATACCTGCAGGTCTCCCCACGCTATCCCCACACATGAATTTCATACGAAGTCAGCATGAAATAGCAAAGAGAAATCAAAATCTGACAGAAAACATGGTAGGAGAACTGAAATGTGTTGGCCACACACCTGTAATCCCAGCACTTAGGAGGCTGAGGCAGGGGGATAAGAGTTTGAAGCCAGTCTGAGGCTGTATAGACATACATAGACCTTTTTCTGTTCTTGTTTTCCAAACATTGTAACAGTGTATAGTAACAGGGACCATTTATCTACATTGTGTTGGGTATTTACTCATCTCCAGACCATTTAAAGTACACAGGAGCATGTACTGTACATTGGTTAGGTCAAATATTAAGTTATTTTACATATGTAAATTGAGCACTTGAGGATTTTGACATCTTCAGATACCAACTGATATCCTTTAGATATCCAGGAATAACTGTACTTAAAATTCTATTAGGCCATTTCCTGCCCAAAGCACCTTTAAATTAGTTTAGTGAGTTACAACTAACTCAGGCCAATAGCAGTAGATTGAATTAGAATAATCAACAGTTGTGTCCCCCACCATCTCAGTATCTGCCAGGAAGAGCCTGCAAGGATATGCTGTAGGATCACATGGAGCACCAACCCTCTGTTTCCCAGTTTCTGTTTTCAGACTTTTCAGCTCTGTGCTGGGCCATTGTGCTGGTGAAAGGGTACAAATATTTGACCCCATCACTTAGCTGCCATTCTCATCAGCCATCTCTGTAGCCACTGGCCTCAAAGTGCCATACAAATGCTGGTTTTTGTGTGTGCCTGGACTTGGAGAAGGTTGGTAATGACTTTCTAGTTGACAGGTTCTGAAATCACTTAGGAGTACTTCGAGGTACCATCTTGATTAGGTCAGTGTCTTGGCCAGGCCTTTGAGGGACTATCCTAATTAGATTAACTGAGGTTTAAAACCCAACCAGAAAAGTGGGCAGCACCATTCTCTGGGCTGCATAAAAGTAGAAAGCTAGCTGAATGTGCAAGCATTCGTCTCCCCCTGAACTCTGGAGGTGTGAGGATCAATGAGCCAAAGTAAATGCTCACTGAAGTTGCTTTTGTCAGGGTATTTTATCACAGCAACACACGTTGGCGAAGTCCTGGAGGAGGTCAGTTCAAGAGTTTTAGCATCTGACCAATAGGTGATGTGGAAGGGGAGCACAGAGTCAGTCTGTGAGAAATGAGCAGCACCTTCAAAACTGTTTCCAGAGTGAAGAGGAAATTTCTTGAATTGCTCGTTTGAAAGAATCCTCCAGGAGTCCAGCAAAACACATGAGTGGAGCTCAGGGAGGGACACAAAGTTGGGCATTTCTGAATATCAGAAATAAGAACAAGTCCATAAGCTTTCAGAGCTGGGGTTGGAAAGGGACAGTAGTAGATGGATCTGGGATCAGTATATGTCATCACACCTTCGAACAGCAACACTGGTAGCCGGGAAGCAGTACCGTAACTGAAAGTTATGGATGTAAAGTCACATGTAACCTTTTTTAGACCCTGCCAGACTCAGTAACATGGAAGGATAATCAATTTTCAGATGTTGAAGAAACCAGAATAGCTGTATTCTTTCTAGAAAGTAGTTGGACAGTGTGCTGCATCAAAATAAGGGAATAAATAATGAAACAATATGTTGGACCCAGAACAGATAACATATATAAAGAGGTATGAACTGTATAGTATTCACAGAGCAAGGTCTAGAAGTCTTCTGACTGATGTGCTCAATACACTCTAGTTGGATATGAAGCACCTGTGTAATGAAAGAGAAGAGTAGTGAGTGTGGATATGAATGCCTCCAAGTGCCAGTGGGTCTCAGAAGAGTAGAATGTAAGAGAACTTGCAGTGATGATCTAATTTAAAGTATGGCCCATGGGGCCTTAAAGGCATCATCTATCCTATCTTGTCATCTGATGTACCCAACCATAGCAGTTGGATTTTCTTTTTGTTGTGTGTGTGCATGTGTGTACATGCACACATGCATGCACACTTATGTTGTGTTGGTGTAGACACTTGTGACTTGGTTTCCTGTGGAGATCAGAGACCAACCTCAGCTATGGGTCCATGCTTTTCACCTTGTTGAGATAGGGTCTCATAGTTTGCCTCTGCATTTGCTAGGCTTCTGGCCTACGAGCTTCCAGACATTCTCCTGTCTCCACCTCCCATCTCACAGGATTGGGACTGTAGGTATGCACCACCTTGTCTGGTCATACATGGGTGCTGAGGCTTCAGACTCAAGTCCTCACACTTGCATGGCAGGCCCTCTATCCACTGAGCCATTTCTCCAGCCCAACCGCTGTATTTTACATTGGCACCAATACTCAGTCTCTTTTTCAAGCCCTCAGAGTTAGTGCTTCACAAATCCTCTCCTGAAAGAAACAACTGTGCCTTTGGTCTGGAAGAGTGAATTCAGGACAGTATTCTTTTATTGCTATGGAGCCAGGATGTTTGAGACCAACAGCTCAGGGTCAAGTAACCAATATAAAGAGATTCTCACTAGCCACATAAGGACAGTTTTGTGCACCAACAAGGAAAAAAAAATACCATTAATTGGATTTTTTTTAATACAAAGGCTTGAGTCCATAAATAAATTTAAATGAGGCAAATAAGATGATTTAAAAGGCACAAAAGAATTCAGCACTATTTACACTCCTTCTAGGAATGTTAAATATTAAAGTTCCCAGGTCAAGTGGGTAGTCCAAAAGGCCTGAAGAATATTGCATTAGGAACAAATTACTGCTAGAATTACTGCTCATGTAGAGGAAAACTCAAGTGATAATACTGCAGAAAGATACAAGGAAGGTAGAAGAAACCTGGTGTTTGGATGGGGTCTTGCAAATCCACATGAAGGTGGGATTGAAACCCAAAGTTATTTTAGCTAGACACATGCTTGGCCACAACAGGAGTGAGTGCCTGGTGCTAAGTCACAGTGGGATGGCAGGGAGACCTTGAACAAGGCAGTCCTAGTCCTGTTTCTGCAGGGAGAAGAAGCTCCCTGTGATAATTCTATCCTGGGAAACCACTAAAGTAAGCCTGGTAGAAGGTCAGATGTGTCTGCACACTTCTTGGTTTCTGGGGGTTCTGTGTGGCCCCCCTGCTGTGCCCTGGATTGTTACACTGTCACAACCAGTTTGCATTCCTTTGTTATTCTCAGTTCAAATCTCAGGGTTCTGATTCCCCCTCAACCCCTCTTCCTCTCTGTTTGCATCTCAGCCAGTCTTGAAATAGAGAGCTTTCTTCCACAGCTTCCCCAGGGCTGTGACTATAGGTATCATGGCTGGCCACAGTCCTTTGATCTAGAGAACTCACTTCTCTGAATTAATTTCTTCTTGCCTGTCTTCCAATGAACACCCCTCTTCTATAAGATTGTATGTGATTACATTTAGTGACCATTTGAATTATGCAAGACATTTCATCGCAAGATCCTAATCCTTACCACAAAGTCTCTTCCTGGGTGAAGAAACTTTCCCTGGTTCCATGGTTTGGGAACTGGGTGTCTTTGGGTTCTTTCTCCAGCTGACCAGAGCTATAGCTGTAAAGCTGTGCCATGTATTCTGTTCCCATCATTACAGCTGGACACCCTTCTCTTCCCTGTGGCCTGTTACTTCCCCTCCCCATGCTCTGTGAGTTCTCAGCCACTGCTGGGGGAGGGGGGGGGGTGATGGGAAATCTTAGAACTGTTGTACTGTCTAACTGGGGAAGGGAATTTGACAACTGCATGGGGATGATGTCACAGCTGGCAGGCCCTGCTTCTGCAGTTGCCTGTTTCCAACCTGCACTGATGCACTCATGGACTTCCTGGCTGGTGGGTCCTTACCTGCCTCTTGTCCTCTGAGCCATTTCCTTCTGGTTCCCCGTGTACTGATTTCTGCACATGAGGAAGACAAGGCGCTGGCCTGAGTTACCCCAGCAGGGCTGTATCACTTTCTGCATGTGACCTTTACTTTCCAGGCTGTGTTTTCCCTGTGTTCACTGAGGCGCAGCATCACTGTGTGAATGAGAGTGAAGACCCAGCCTACACATCAGCTGTATTCATGTGATACTGATTCAATCCCTCGTTCCAGGCTTGCAATCATGGATCCTCTGCGGGAAGCAAATGGCACCTTTGCCTTAAACCTTTTGAAAATACTGGGAGAAGACAGCTCAAAAAATGTATTTTTCTCACCCATGAGCATCTCCTCGGCCCTGGCCATGGTCTTCATGGGGGCAAAGGGAGACACTGCAAGCCAGATGATTAAGGTAACCAGCACCATTTCTCACCAGATTAATACCATGGACTCAGTTGAGCTGGTCCTCCACACTCTCAGTCTCAAAAACTAATCCAACTGGAGGAACAAATGGGAATGAAATGACAGAGGGGTATGTTTGGAGAGTTGAGAGGAAGGATGCACTGCATCTGTTAGGATGCTATCACTGACTCATTGGTGCTCGCAGTGTGTATGTGAGAGTTAGCTTGAGTAAAAACACCAAAGCGGTGACACCAGGGTCCCCTGTGATGCCCACTGTCTCCTCTCTGCCCCTAATGAATCTCAGCTTTTTCACCGGTAAGGAACACTGGAATGGTTTCAGCCTTGGCTGGAAGACCAGGGACATATCCATTAGGGCTGGTCTTGGACATAGTGTTTTAGCTACAGAGGTTATGAACTGCAGAGACAGGCTGTCCCAGCATAAGAGGGGAGACTACCTTGGGCTATGACTTAGCATTCTGGGTTAAGTCTTGGCAGCTTCTTTCCATTTTTACAAGACATACTGTGTTTGTTGCTGTCTCAGCCTGCCTCCTGTTTGAAGGGAGTTAGGCCATAGAGGCTTGCCTTCAATTTAAACTGACTCTCTTTGTTTTTTTGTTCTAAGCTATTACAACTACTGATGGGCAGTTCATCTGTTTCCTATAGGAGCAGCTGAAGTCATTTGTGTAGCTTTTTCTGAGGCTTGGAAGGTCTACAGAATTGTATCTGAGGTCTGGCATCTAGGTGTTCACTGTTGGCTGGGGTCTTGAATTTCTTTCAAGCAGCTATTTGTGGTGGCAGTTACTCCAGGATTTTTATGTGGTCTCCTGGAGGATGGCTTAGATTTCCTTCCATGATGTCTGGGAACAAATGTGGCAGCTCCCAGGCCTTTTAAAGCCCAGGTTGGAACAGGGTCACTCTCCTCCATTCTTTTGGGTAGACAGTCCTGGAGCCAGTCCAGACCCAAGAGCAGGGAAGAGACAGCATGGTCTGAGGTCAGAACTGGCTGCACTGGAGTCATGGCAGGTCTGCTTGGTAGCCATGCATGAGGCCAGAGCACAATTAGTGAACGTGAAGAGCTGGACTTGTGAAGGGCCATTTCTGCTCAGGGCTGACAGGGAACAGGGCAGGATCCTAGAGAGGGAGTAGTCAAGGTACTTTCATCTTTAACTAGGTGGCTCTTTGAGTGGCAGCAAGGATCTATAAGATTTTGAGGATGAGTTTAGTGTTGACTCATTTCATATAGCTGGGCTTGCTGAAGTTATGTTTGAATCTGTTTTGATTTCAGGCGCTTTCTTTGGATAAATGCAGCGGCAGTGGAGGTGGAGATGTCCACCAGGGCTTCCAGTCACTTCTCAGCGAAGTGAACAAGACCGGAACACAGTACTTGCTCAAAACAGCTAATAAGCTCTTTGGAGAAAAGACTTGTGATCTTTTAGAAGTAAGTATCATGTGGTACTCAGAGACGGTAGGCTAAGGATTCACCCTACTCCCTTGCCCACTAATGTGATTTTGTATTTGGTTGCATACTCTGGAACCACGTGTGAGCGTATTCTTATTGTGCAGCATATTTAAGCAAGAGCCATTCTCTACCTCTGCCTCTTTCCAGAAATAGGTTCTTTTTATATAGGGTGATGTGTGTGTTCTGCACGTACAGAAACTTAGTAGGTGAGAATTTTCCCTATGTGCTACCATTAAGTGTATTTTTTTGTGTTTCTTTCATTCTTTGAATCTCAGTATCACTTGACTGTGTCTCATTATTATTATTCCCATTTTTGGTGTGAGAAATGGAACCCATGATCTCACACATCTAAGCCCCAACTCTACCACTGACCCACAGCCCAAGCACTGTTCAGTATTAGCCATCATCTGATTGTCCTGAGTATAGATGTACAGTGACATAGTGAACTGCTTGTGTGTGGGTGACAGTGTGGGCCATTACCAACAGTGAGTTACTGGATATCGATTTATGCCCATGTGCGTGCATTGCTGGCAGATACATTTGTGAAAAGAAGATGAAGCCTTAAGACTGTAATATGTGTTGCTCCATTGCTATCCCAGATGGCCAGAGATATCAGCAGAGTGTTCATTTCCTTCCCTGTCAGGGGCTTGAACAATCTTGATCTTTTCAGTTTTGATCTTGAGATTGGAAAGTTTTTTTTTGTTGTTGTTTTGTTTTGGTTTTTGGTTTTTTTTTTTTTTTTTTTTTTTGAATGCTCAAGTTGAGCCTCAGTAAATCGGAAAAAAAAAATCTTACAGAGACCCTGTGAGGTATAGCCATCTGTCTCCTGATTTACAGTGGTTGAGGAGGTGTAGAGAGATTGGCTCTTCTAAGACCATTCAGCTGATACTCAGCCTGTTTTAATCCTGTATCATAATTCTGTTTCCCTCAGGGAATGGAGAGATGCTCATTTGGTAAATAAAATGCCTGGTATAAAAGCATGAAGACCCAAGTTCAGATTCCCAGCACCCACATAGAAACCCAACATAAAGTTTCATGTCTGTAAGCTTAGTACTGGGGGATAAAGAGAGGAATGGATTTCTGGAGTGCACTAGGCAGCCTGCCCAGCTTTGTTGATGAGCTCCAGGTTCAGTGAGAGGCTGTCTCAAAAAATAAGGTGCAGAACTAACTCTTGAGAAAGATACTTCAAGTCACTTTCTAACATTAACATAGACTTCATATACACTTGCACACACATGTGTACTTATCTACACACATGTGTGTAAATATATTTGCCACATACACATAAATACGCAAATGAAAAATAACAGTTCTCTCAATGAGGAATTAAATATGCAGCCATGAGATGAGCTGTTTCATAGAAATATTGAGAAACCATTCCATATACACTGTCAACATAATGGGAGTTTCATTTATGTTGTATTGAATTTTTTGTTGTAACAAGGCAGATGTGGGTGGTCATTAAAGTCATTGTCATTTTACAGAATATATCAGCAAACGAATGGAACTTTGGTTTGTCTTGTGGTGCTGGTGATCAGTTCCTTTAAGGCCTTATGCATGCCAGGCTGGTCCTCCACTTCTGTGCTGCACCACCAAACCCCACTCCAGCATGGACTGTGTTTTTGTGAACTGCTCACTCCCAGAAACTGAGCTGCCTGAGATGGTGACCATGGACACATAGCTTTTCAAATTCCACATCATGAAGTAAAATAAATGAAAATGAAATACTCAGTTTCTTAGCTTCCATGGCCATTCCCTGGTGTTCTGGGGCTGTAGGTGACACCATTTTGAATGGTGCACATTTGTATTTCTGTTAGCATGGAAAACTGTGGTAGAAGGTCCATCCTGTGCAGTGCAGAGGTGTCATAGCCCTTGTGGGGTTAAACCTCACTCTGCCCATGTGGTGGCCTACTAGAGTGACAGCAGGATAGTACTGCATCTGGGGGTCTTCCCCATCATCTCCCAAGCCTCAGCTACTACCTCTAGGATCCAGCTGCTCATTGTGATTTTCAGTAGTACTCAGACCAACCACCAATTACCTCATTAATAAACTAAAGGGATCTGGACACAGGAGGACTGGATTTTACACTCTTTCCGTATATTTGTTTGCAAAACCCATCTGTACACCATTACATTTTGATTTATTGGTTTTGTGCATCGAGGAAGGAGGCTGTTGGTGCTAATCACTTCCGTGACTGTGTAATTATGTTGCTCTGTCTCAGTCTTTTAAAGATTCCTGCCGCAAGTTCTATGAAGCAGAGTTGGAAGAGCTGGACTTTCAGGGAGATACAGAGCAGTCCCGACAGCACATCAACACCTGGGTGGCCAAAAAGACAGAAGGTGAACACAGAGTCTATCTGTTGTGTTTGTTTGTTTTCAGAGCTGGGGTTTGAACCCAGGGCCTGAACATGCTGAGCAGGACCTCGCCCCTGAGCTAAACCCCAGTCCCTGTTAAGCAGTTAGCCTATTTTAAAAAAATGGTACATTTGTTGGTTTGTTTATTGTGTGTTTGTGTCTATCTGTGCACACCTGCACTCAGGACAACTCACAGGAGTTGGTTTTCTCTCTACCACTGGGTCCTAGGGATTCTACTCAGTTCTTCAGTTGTTAGCGAGCATCTTTCTTGTCAGGCCATCTGTCTGTGTATAGTCTTTTTATTTTTATTTCTGTTTTTGTTGTTTTCTTTTGTTTTGAGACAGAGTCTCTCTGTGTAGCCTTGGGTGTCCTGAAACTCCCTATGCAGACCAAACCGGCCTCAAATTCAGAGATCTACCTGCCTCTGCCTCTCAAGTGCTAGGATTAAAGGGGTGCACCACCATGCCTGGCTTTATAGTCTATTGTTAATAACCATATTGTTAATGCCTTCGCAGGCGCTTCAAATGTAAACAATAATAACCTTTGTTCTTTAAATCAGGACTTCTTTTTGACATGCCTGGGGATCGAAACCAAGGACTTGCAAAGTTCTCTAACATTGATCTGCATCTTTAGCCCTAAATCAGAAATCAGAATTCTTTTTGTTTTTTGTTTTTTGTTTTTTTCTTTCAAGATAAGGTGTCCGTATGTAGCGTTGGCTTCCTGAAACTTACTCTGTAGACCAAGTTGGCCTGGAACTCAGGAATCTGTCTGTCTCTGCCTCCTGAGTTCTGGGATTAAAGGTGTGCACCAATCTGCCCAGCCCCTAAATCAGAACTCTTAAACTGCCCATCCCAACTCCTTTTTGCCTAAGAACTTTTTATATTACCCTGTACAGTGTATAAAACAGTTATAAATTTATTTATCTACAGAAATATGTTTTAAAACTGTTGGTATACTTATAATTTTGTCACAATTAAAGATGGAGTCAAATGTGCATACTAATGAGGTAAAGAGTTTATGTAACACAGTATAATCAGAAGATATAATAAACTGAAACTTACAGAAAATCTTTATATGTATGTGTATATGCCTTCATACATTTATGTGCAGCCTGTGCCTGCAGGGGCTTGCAGAGGCCAGAGAGTGCCAGATCCTCTGGAACTGGAGTTCCAGGCAGTTGTGAGCCACCTGATGAGGATACGATATGAAATTGTATCCATTTAGTCATCTCCTCCTCTCCCCAAAGACGTAATAATTTGATGCTTACACACTGAGAATGAGAACATGAAAATAAATGAAAGTCTATTATTCACAATGACGATATTCTCTCTCTCTAAGAGCAGAAATCTTTGAATGTAGATCACAGACGCTGTAGTGTTGGTTGGCATTGCATTTTATAGGATAAATAAAATTTTATAGGATAAAAAAATAAGAGTTCTGATTTATGGCATGCACAGTACGAAGTGCTCATGTACAGGATCAAGGCCAGAGTGAGGTGGTGTGAAGCCAGACGGGAGCTGCTGTCGTACGCTCTTCAGGTTCATCGTGCATTGGAGTTGGAATGAAGTTTCAGCTACTGACTGTTCAGAAAGCTGCAACTGTTGCCGTTTTCCCCTCAAGCCACACAGTCAGGCAGGAAGATCACCATCAGCAGCTTAGGAGACTGCGCTGAATAAATGAAACTTTACAAAGCTGTCTCTAAAATAGTGTCCGTTTCTGACGCTTTGCAGAACTTTTTCCTGTTCCCATTTCTCCTTTAAAGACAGTGGCTCTGTAGCCCTGGCTGACTTATATCCTGTTACATAGATTGTGTTGGCTCCCAGTGATGGGATTAAATGGTGTGTCACTACATCTGGCTTTTCCCAGCTGTCTGTGGTGTCTCCCAGTATTTGATACACCTATTCAATAACCAACCAACCTGCTGCTGTCTCTCCCATCCTTGGTGCCCAAAGAGTCCAGAATGCTTTCCTTCTAGGTCTGTAGCTCTTTCCTCTCTGGGGGTGATGCTCCTAAACTCTAGTTAGCTAGGCAGGCTGTAGGTGTTGGGCCCAACCCCCATTAACCTGTGATTGTAGATTGCTTTATACTTATAAGATCCATTTTATTACTGCTATTCTACTTCCAATTTATTTTTAAGCTGATGCATAAATATACATATTGACAACGTTCCATATAATTTTCACTGTGCATTCTCTAATGTTCAGATTAAGATAAATATATCTATCACTTCAAATACTTTTAAATTTGAATTTGTAATTGGTCTATTTAAAAACAACCTAAAGTTCCTTTCTTAAAGTTGTAGGCACCAATTGTCTCTTTCCGGCTCAAGTGATGCTTTTAAATTCCAACTGCATGTTTAGCACCAACTCATATATTTTATGTGTTTATTTGAACAATGAAATTTTTTGTACTAGAACCTTTTGGGCTTATTTTTCTTCTCACTAAAACTTTGAAAGAGTTTGGCTTTAGTGATGGAGAGCTGGCTCAGCATTTAAGAGCACAAACTGCTTTTGAAGAGGAGCTGAATTGGTGCCCAGCACCCACACCAACTTTCTATCATTTCAGTTCCAGGGAATCTAATACTTGGGGCCTCTGTGGACATCAGCACACATGTGGACACACACACACACACACACACACACACACACACACACACAAAACATTAATTCAAAATAAATCTTAAAAAACCAAAAAAGGTGTGTTCATGTTGATATCAGGGTTGTTGCTTTAAGGACAAATGTCCTTTTATTTTGAGAGAAAGTGAAATCTCTTATCCATGCTCCTGACCAGAGCAGGAGGTGGTGCTCTGTGCCTGTCAGTCCTTTGCATGTATCAGCCAACTTGGTTTGCCAACTGGGTCTTGTCTTTGTTACTGTTCTATTGCTGTGAAGGGACACCACGACAAAGGCAACTCTTATAAAAGAAAGCATCAAATTAGCTTGCTTATGGTTTTAGAAGGGTTAGTTCATGATCATCATGACAGGAAACAGACAGGCATGGTGCTGGAGTAGTAGCTGATCCACAGGCAGCAGGCTTTTGAAATCTCAAAGACCACCCCCAATGACACACTTCCTCAACAAAGCCATACTTACTATTCCTTTCCAAACAGTTCCATTAACTGGGAACCAACCATTCAAATATATGAGTCTAGGGAAGCCATTCTCATGCCTTTTAATTCTTTTTTTTTTTTTTTGATTCATTCTTTCAGATAAAATTAGAGAGTTGCTGTCTCCAGGTACACTGAATTCAGACACTCTGCTGGTCCTTGTGAATGCCATCTACTTCAAAGGAAACTGGGAGAATCAGTTTGACAAAGAGGACACCAGGGAGATGCCTTTCAAAATCACCAAGGTAAGTAAACACAGTGCTTAGCAGAGGAGACTCCTGGGTAAGGTCCCCTGTTCACACTGGCTTCTGAAACACAAGGATGCTTCTTCTACTAGTCGTCTACTGCTTCACATAGCCCGTGCCTCTCATGTCTCTGGGCAGCTCAGCAGCCAGGACTGCTCTCTCAGCTTGGACTCCTTTCTCTTCCCTTTCCTTTTGCATGTTGCCAATGGTGGCCGCAGTCTACATGGGTTCAGGCCTGGCCCTGCTTCTCTCACTGACAGCTGTTGAGGTCAGACCTGATGGCAGAGCTCTGCAGTGTACTTTAAACAGTCTGCCATATAACTTTGGAGATATGGAAGTCTAAACTCCAGCTGTGGTGTCTGAGGCTCTTTGTGGTCCTGAATGCAGCCCATTCTCGTGATTCCCCTCAGTGGTGCACATTCCTTTCTTTTCAGTGCGTCTTCCTAGAAGCAATGTCTTATATCTTCTCCTTCCTTCAAGAGGACCACAAGTCCAGCTGGTTGCCACAAAACAATACAGTGGGAAAAGAACCTTTCTCCCCCTGCTGGCAAAAGAGCAGGGGGCAGACAGCTGGCTTCTGAGTGCCTGGCTAATGGCCGGTGCTCAGTAAACACTCAAGCAGTGTGTGAAATTCGTCTTGATTTGATGGGCTAAGCACAGATTTTTGCTTATAGACAAGCACACAAAGGATTCAACCTCTTTGAGGTTGGAGCATGTTATTTGCTGGTGGCTGAGTGTTATTCTGGATTTTAATCAGACCTCAGATCTCCCAGACAAACTTGAATTTGAACCTCTACTTTCTTAGGTAATGCAATTTATTTCAAGATTTATTCTCAACTAAACTGTTCATTTTTTTCCCGATTAAAATATTTCTGTCTTTGAAATCAGTTGTTGACAAAATATACATAAGGACTCCCTTCAGCTGCAAGCAACAGAAACCCTAGATGACTATAGTTGAACTCATACAAGTTCATCACCCACCAGGAAGGCAGGAAATGGGTGAAACCTGGAGTTTCCTGCATGGGGTGATGCTCTTGGGAACTGACTCTGCTTTCCTGCTCTACCACCCTTAGCACGAGGTCTTTTCCTCATGCTCACACCAAGGCTTTGACCCTGACCATGCTCACACCAAGGCTTTGACCCCAGCAGTCCATGGGGAAGGGCATAGGACTGAGAACAAGAAGCCTCCTTCTGAGACCTTTCCCATTTATTATATAAGTGGAACTACTTACTGTGGCCCCTGCTAAGTACAGGGCCAAGAGGCATTGCTTGCTTCCTTGTCTCTGCACTAAACACAGACTGGTCTGCGGCTTCATCAGATGTTGACTGTAATACTTATATATTGTCACACCTCCAAACCACAAGATTTTCCGTTGATATGGATTTGTATTTATATTATGAGCAGTATTCCTGCTCACTAATTTGCCACTAATATGGTCTCCAAATGTTACATAAGAGCCTACTGTGCACCAGACATTAACTGGTTGAGTGTGTCTGCCCTCGTGAAGCTTTGTTTTCCTGGAGAAGAGAAATTGGAGATAAGCCTAGGTAAGACCACAGTGGTTGGTGGGAGGGCTTCCGAGACATACAAAGGAGGTGGCAGGATGCTGTACTTGAGTGCGGTTGCAGAGGAGAGCTGCTGAGGAAACCCTCACTGGGAGATAGTATGTGAGCAGACACCAGCATAAGAGGAATGGTCCAGGTCTGAGGACTAGTTTGTTGGGCAGAAAGGGACTTAATCTAGTTAACAATAACCCTACAAACAGTCCTATGACTATAGGATCAAAGAAGATAGAGTGGAGCAGAACAGGAAGCAGGGCGGGCTCTTTTCTATACCAGGGTGTTTTAAGGACTTCAACTTTTGTCCCTGCTAGAGTGGTACCACACAAAGGTGGTACAGCCACAGTGGTGTGGTCTGACTTACACTGTGCTGGGAACTCTGGCTGCTGTGCTGAGGTCAGTGACAAGGAGGTCATCACTGTACCCCAGGGCTGTACTGATTGAGGTGAAGGCTTAAAAATAAAGTCAGATTTGGGTTATATTTCAAAGGGACAGACAACACAGTTTGGTAATGAGTCAAATGCAGGGTGTGAGAAAGTGACAGAAGTCAAGGACACAGATTGGTTTTGGCAAGTGAAAGGAGGACATGTAAGAATTGTTGGCAGAGCAGCTATACAAAGGAATATCAAAGTGCAGGAGTCAAATCAACTATAAAATACATTATTTCAGAGTTCAGGGAGGAGGAGTCCAGGGTAGAACAGTGAATTTGGGAATATGTTCAAAGTTATGAGAATAAATGAGACCCCCCAATAGAAAAGAATTGTTGGCCCAGGACATCACAGGTGTTTGCCGATTGGGTCAGTCAGCTTTCCTGACACTAAAGTGTGGAGACAGCCAACTTAATAAGAGAAAGGGTTTATTTGACTCAGTGTTAGAGCTTTAAGTCTGTGATGACATGAACCCATTGTTTTGGGGCCTGTTTTGAGGGTATGCCACTGGAATGGCATCCTAGGAGCAGGTACTGGAGTAAAATGGTTCATCTCAAGACCAGGAAGTGAAAGAAAGGAAAAGTTCAGGATCCCACAATCCCTCTCAAGGACACATCCCAATGACACACACACCTCCCTCTGTCCCCCACCATTTAGAGATTCTGTTCCCTTGCCAGGCATGGTGACACACACCTTTACTCACAACACTTGGGAGACAGAAACAGGTAGGTAGCTCTCTGTGCATTCAAGGCCAGCCTGGTCTGTGTAGCAAGTTTGAGGCCAACTAGAGCTGCATAGTGAGACTCTGTCTCAAACAAGCAGGATTCCACCTCCTCCCAATCTAGCACTCCTGAGGACCAGGCCTTGAAAAGGGGCCTCTTGGGGCATGTAAGGTCTAAACAAGTATTTGAGAGGCTGATGAAGTGTTCTAGAAGTCAATTGAAGAAAATGCTCCTAAGACTGGAGAGATGGCTCAATAATTAGAAAAAAAAATGTTCTTGAAGAAGAGCAGGGTTCGAATCCAGCACACACTGGTGTCTCATAACCATCCATAACTCCAGTTACAGAGGAATTTGACACCGTTTTTTGAAATATGCAGATAATAAATGCACATAATCATGTGGTACACATACATACATTCAGGCCAAATACTCATACATATACAATATAATAAAAAAAAAGCCAAGTATTCCTCATTGCAGTGACTGGCTTCCTTGATTGAATCTGCCCAATGTTTCACTTGTGTCTCCTTTCAATTTAATATTTATCTGTCCTTCACAGAATGAGGAGAAACCTGTGCAAATGATGTTCAAGAAGTTTACCGTCAACATGACCTATATTGGAGAGATATTCACCAAGATTCTGTTGCTTCCCTATGCTGGCAATGAGCTGAACATGATCATCATGCTTCCAGATGAGCACGTTGAACTGAGAACGGTAAGGAGTGTGGGGCCTTAATGGGGCTATGAGAGAAAAATTGAGTGGCATTTGGGTTTCTGCTGGGGCAGCTCTCCTAGGCTCCTGTGATCATGTTTTTATCTTCCATTTATTTGTGAGGCTGGGGTGGAACCCAGGGTCTGGAGCCTGCTTGACAAACACTCACCACTGAGCTGTACTCACCCCTCCCAGCTACTATATTAACTTACAGCTGCACTTCTCCATACAGTGTAGAGCCTCCCCATCATCTCAAGTGTCCTGTGTGACAACATTGTCCTAAAGTCTTGAACTCTCTTCTAGGTGGAAAAGGAAATAACTTATGAGAAATTCATGGAGTGGACAAGGCTGGACAAGATGGATGAAGAAGAGGTAGAGGTTTTCCTCCCACGGTTTAAACTGGAGGAGAATTATGACATGAAGGAATTCCTGTGCAAGCTGGGCATGACTGATGCCTTTGAGGACAGGGCAGACTTTTCTGGAATATCTTCCAAGCAAGGCTTGTTCCTGTCCAAGGTTGTGCATAAGTCCTTTGTGGAGGTCAATGAGGAGGGCACAGAGGCTGCTGCTGCTACAGCTGCCATCATGATGATGAGGTGCATGAGGTTCACCCCTCGCTTCTGTGCCGACCACCCCTTCCTTTTCTTCATTCAGCATGTTAAGACCAATGGCATTCTGTTCTGTGGCCGGTTCTCTTCTCCCTGAGGAAAGGATGCTCCTATCAGTCTTTTACCCATTTTCCATGGTTTGCCTGTGTCCCAAGTGACCTTATCCATAAGTGCAATGACAATTTGAAATAAAGGGCTTTCTAGCATCCCACCTTTGTAACTGTCTGTCTCATGGGAGGGCTTTTTCTGTGACCTGAAATTGCATTTCTGGGGGTTTGTGGTATTGCTGGCTACAGAGTTCATCCCTGCTGGAGGACCCAACACAGGCAGCCTTGTGTCCCCTGTGACAAGAGAAGAGAAGCAGTGCTTCTGTCTCTTCTCTTGGTAGCATCAGGATCTTACTCCACTTTAACTTAAAAAACCTGTGAGTTGAAGCTCTGAGGAGTGGACAGCAGGGACATATCTCTGACAGTCTGTGTAGAACTGTGTGCCAAAATTTATGTAAGCTAGATAGGCGGGGTGATCAGGGACCCAGCCCAGTGAGAACAGCTCATTTTCCCTTATATCTGTTTTCTCTCATATAGTATGACACACATACCTCTTTAGATACATAGTGTCCACTCTCTCCCAAGGATTGGAAATACTCTGTCATTCGCGGGAATATAGTTGAGCATAGCCGCATGAATAAACACCAGATGAATTTCTAATTAGTGACAGATATTACAGATAAAAAGGTGAAAAGTTTCTGAAGCTGTGTTTGCCACTTGCTGGAAATACAATAGAAGCATTCAACAGGAAGTGAAGAAATTGAGGGGGGCATGGTCTGTGTGAAAGAGTCATGTTGGGATTCTAAGGGGTGGCAGGAAGAATCTTCCATGACCTGTGTGCAGTTTTACAGAAGCCAGGGTCTCTTCTGTGAAAGAGATGCTGCTCTGTAAAAGAGATGTTCTTCTGTAAAGGGCACTGATGCTGCTCACACACTGCCAAGCTGCGGTGACAGAGTGGGTAACATTAAGAGACATGGAATTTAGGAGTTGATGTGAAGAAAGGGAGATTAAAGTTTGCTGCCTTTGATGTCCACCCTTTGTCACTGTCCCGCTGCTATAGCAAAAATACCTGAGACTGGAAAAGCTGAGCATGATGGTATAGACATGTGATTCCAGCACTTGGTAGGTAGCTGTGGAAGGATCAGGTATCAAAGCCATCTGGAGTTAACTGGAGTTTAGTGAAACAAATTAAATCAACCTAGTGGACAGCTACAGAGCTTTCCATCCAATAACTAAAGAGTACACCACTTCTCAGCAGCCCATGGATCATTCTCTACAATCTATCACATGTTAGGACATAAAGCAAGTCTCAACAAACTTAGAAAACTTGAAATAACATCTTCCAGTCTACCTGACCACAGTGGAATAAAGCTGGCTGCCAATAGAAACTACAGAAAGTACATAAGTTAATGGAGACTAAACAGCACATTACTGAATGGCAGTTGGGTCAAGGAAGAAATATATAAGGAAATTAATAATTCCTAGAATTGAATTAAAATGAAAACACAACCTACCCAAATCTATGGGACACAAGACAGTCTTAAGAGGAAAAAGTTCACTATAGCATTAAGTACTTACATCAAAAAATCTGAGATATCAAATTAATAACTTAATGATTCGCCTGATATCCTTAGAAAAAAACAGGAACAAACAGCATCCCAAAACAGCATGGGAAGAGATAATCAAATGAGGGGCTAAAATTAATGAAATAGAAACAAACAAAAACAAAAAATACAAAGAATCAAAGAAACAGTAGGTTCTTCAAAAAAAAATTAACAAGATTGATAACCTTTTACCCAAATTATCCAAAAAAGAGAAAAGATCTAAATTAGTACAATTAGGGATAAAAAGTAGACATCACTATAGACAGTGCAGCAACTCAGAAAATCATGAGGACATACTTAAAAATTTATTTATCCTACCAAATGAAAATCTAAAAGACATAGATGAATTTCTAGATTTATATTACCTACCAAAATTAATTCAAGATGAAGTAAATAATGTAAAAAACTTTTAACAAACCATGAGATGGTAACAGTAATTAAAAATCTCTCAACTAAAGAGAGCCCAGGTGGATTCTGTGTAGAAGTTTGTCACAAATGTGCCTCAAGCTATTCCCCCAAATAGAAAAGAAAGGAACATTTCTAAATTCTCTTTACAAAGCCAGTATTACCCTGATACCAAAACCAGATAACAAACTAATAAAAGAAGAAGAAAAAACGGTAAGAAAAGAAATTATAGGCCAACCTTCCTTATGAACATAGACATAAAAATTTCCAATAAAAACCTTGCTAAGCGCCAGGCGGCGGTGGCGCATGCCTTTAATCCCAGCACTCAGGAGGCAGAGCCAGGAGGATCTTTGTGAGTTCGAGGCCAGCCTGGTCTACAGAGTGAGATCCAGGACAGGCACCAAAACTACACAGAGAAACCCTGTCTCGAAAAACCAAAACCAAACAAACAAACAAAAACAAAACAAACAAACAGACAAAAAACCTTGCTAAGCAAATTCAAGAACACATCACAAAGATTGCTCATCATGGTCAGTTGGATTGATCACAGAGATGCAGGGATGGTTCAACATACATAAAGCAATAAACATAATCTACCACATAAATAAAGGACAGAAACCACATAATTATCTTATTAGATGCAGCAAAGGCCTTCAACAAAATTCAACATTCCATCATGATAAAAGTTGTGAGTCATCTAGGGATATGAGGGACATACCTCAATGTAATAAAGGCAACATACAGTAAGACCAAATGCAACATTATTCTAAAAGGAGAAAAACAAAGTATTTCTACTAGCATAAGGAACACGACAATGATGCCCACTCTTTCTCTCCATTCCTGTTCAATATTGTGCTTTAAGTCTTGGCTAAAGGATAAGACAAGTGGACGAGATAAAGAGGATACAAATAGGAAAGGAAGAAGCTTAAGTATCCTTATTTGAAAATGATATGATTCTATGTATAAAAGATCTTAAAGACTCCACAAGGAAACTACAGATGACAAACACTTTGATCAAAGTAGCAGGATGCAAAATTAATGCATAAAAGTTGCCTTCTATCTGCAAACATGCCAAAAATGAAATCAGGGAAACAATAGCATACGCAATTGCCTTAAAAAATACCATTCACGGAAACACATGAACTATGAACCAATGGCTGAGGGGTCACCAACTGGATCAGGCCCTCTGAATGGGTGAGACAGTTGATTGGCTTGATCTGTTTGGGAGGCATCAAGGCAGTGGGACCGGGTCCTGTGCTCATTGCATGAGTTGGCTGTTTGAAACCTGGGGCCTATGCAGGATCACTTGGCTCGGCCTGGGAGGAGGGGACTGGACCTACCTTGACTGAGTCTACCAGGTTGATCTCAGTCCGCGGGGGAGGCTTTGCCCTGGAGGAGGTGAGAATGGGGGATGGGCTGGGGGGAAGGTGAGGGGGGGGGCGGGAGGGGGGAGAACAAGGGAATCCGTGGCTGATATGTAGAACTGAATTGTATTGCAAAATAAAAATTAAAAAATTAAAAAAAAATACCATTCACAATTTCTCTACCCCTTCCCCCCAAAAAATGCTTCTTCAGCAAAGGATACCATAATTCAAGTGAAGAGGCAGCTGGCAGAATAGAAAAAACACTTTACCAGTTGTATATCTGACAGTGTTAGTATCTAGACTATATGAAGAAAAAGGAAAAACCTTAAATATCAAGAAAACAAATAACCCAATTTAAAATAGGGACATGGAACTGAACAGATTTCTCAAAAGAATAAATGTAAAAGACTGAGTGTAGCCAGAAGTTTCTCCAGTCCTGCCCGGCCCTGCAGTTGGATGAATTTCTCCCATTTGCATCCTGCAGCCACTCATTCCCAAGTAAACACACAGAGGCTTATATTATTTACAAACTGTATGGCCTATGGGTCAAGCTTCTTGTAAACTAGTTCTTAAACAACTTCACTCATTTCTATTAATCTATATATTGCCACATGGACATGGTATTACTGGTCTGTTGGCATCCTGTTGCTCGTTGGGTGGCAGGCTGGCATATCTCCAACTCCACCCTTCTTTGTCTCCTCTTCAGTTTGAATGTACTGCCTAACCTTATCCTCCTCTGCCATAGGCCAATGCACCTTTATCTATTATCTAGTGGGAGCCACACATATTCACAGCATACAGAAAAACATCCCCCATCATTTCCCCTGTTCTGTCTAATCAAAAAGGAAGGTTTTAATTTTAACATAGTAAAATTATATATAACAAAGCAGTTATTAAGCAAGAATTATAGTTACAGTATCTAGTCTATTTGTATTTGGTAAAATTAAAGAAAATATTCTATCATTTATCCTATATTTGTGAGTCTAAAGTTTTACATCTAATTTACCTTTTATCATAACTAAGAAAAACTATAATTATAACTATCTAGTCTTCAACTCCATCAAAAGCCCAAGAAGGATATAATATTACCTGAGTAAAAAGGGAATGCATTGAAAGTAACTTCCTTAATACTAGAAATGACAGAGACATCTGGGTGCCTGGACAGTCACCCAAAGTTCCTCTGTATTGTTGGGGCATCTATCTTCAGTGTACAGGCCTAGAGTCTCTGACATGACTTTCAGTGAAACAGGAAATTTTAAGGACTCTTCTGCCTATTCTGGCAAAGTTTGTCAATTGCATCTCCCCATGTCCTGTAGAATGTCTGCCAGTTTCTTCTGTGAAGCAGGAACCTTAAGGACCATCTCACCCTGTTTTGGCAAAGTTCAGTGGTCATTTTCCCATGGGTCCTGCATGTCCAGGTTATACAACATTGTCAAGCAGTCCAGGCAAGAGCAGTTTCTTGCCCAAATGGCCACTTTTTCCAAGAAGATAAACTCCATATGGAGTGTCTTCAATGCCCATCTTCCTCTTTGAAGTAAATTTGTGCTGCCAGAAGCAGACATGTCTCACTATCCAGAAAAGTCTAAATTTTTAAAACATTTTAAATGCCATAATCCATAAGTCTTTGAAGTGTTTGAAGATTACCTACCTGATTGAAATATATCTATGTATACCTAGGATACTTAATCTGTATTTCTTAATTATGCATTACAAGTTTGAGTTGCATAAATAATACCTTAAAACATGGTAGAAATATACATACAGTAAAACAAAATTAACTTTAAACTTGTA